TTTTTTTTAAATATAATTCTCTCTCTTTGGATGTCTTTTTGGCCCCAGTTTATTTCATTATTATTTTCCTTGTAATTGTCAATATTTTGATAAATTTGTTATTGGATATTTCTTGTTTGTTTAAATTGATTCCTGCGTTACATTAGTTAATTGTATTATATCCATCATGTAAGTTGAGCCCTGTTCTAACTTAGAGGGGCATCAAAAAGGAAAAAGTAGAGTGGCTGACTATTGTGCAGGAAACATCTGCAGCATGGAAAGCCAGCTGATCGCATTGAGTCATTGACATTGCAGGAATTGTTCCTTGTGGATGAGCAGGTAACGACTGACATTTTGCTGTTTACTCAGGAGCAATCCTTTGCTCAAACCTCCTAAGTTGCTCATCAGTACAATTAAGACTAAAAATGAAATTGTAGTGGTGCTTGCGGGGGTGTTGCACAGGTCTGTCTGACTGAATAAGCACTGCAAATGTTTATACCTGATACTGACCTTGGCAAAGTATTTTCCGAAAACACAGTTCATTACATAACAAGCGGATATATAGATATGAGAGGAAACATTTCACACACACAACAGAAATGGCTGTGTGACTTAACCAATTAATCATTTGTTAACCATTTGATTCTGTTTCTTGCAAAGTTTTAGGCTTTTTAAAGTCTTTTCAGAAGCATATAAAATTAAACCTACATACTGTTTTTGATTTTAATGTGTGCAGTCTAATTTTATGTCTAATAGTTATGTTCCTCTTACCTTTTCCTCTTCTGTTACCATTTTCCTTTGGTGTTTTAAGTAATGAGTTATAAAGTTTTTTCAGTGAATGGATCAGGGATGTGGTCTGTGACAAATTATAAGTAATCAAAGGTGCACAAGCAGGTGCTGCAGCAGCAAGGGAGATCCACGCGCAGGGCCATTGATGATGTGATTGTGTCACTTGGAGGCGCAGCCTTGCAGCCTCCTCTGTGCGTTTAATATAAACCAGGCTTGAGAAGCTGATTGTGGACTTAGGGAAGAAGGTTAGTGGAATGTAACTGCCTATAAATGGGGGATTTCTGAAGAGTAGAGCTAGACGATATGGCCAAAAAATAAATTAGATTATGATAAAGTTCTTAATTTCAGTCATTACATTTTCAATTTTGATGTAGAAAATAAAGCCTCAGTTGTGGCCTTTAGCCCACAGCAGAACCCTCAAAAACCTCTGAAAATATTTATGCCAAGACCATAAAAATCCTCCAAGATACTGTTTTAGAAACTACTTTTTAAAAAGCAATCTTTTTTATTTTGGAAGTACAATTTCAACAGATGAAATGCACATTTAACCAGGTAATAATCTCTCCTTTATATTTCTAGTCTCTTTTAGTTTTTATTATTCCTCTTCTAATTTTGTGATTGGCTGCCATATGTCCAAGGAGACAAACACAAGTAAAAGTAAAAGACTGTGTCTGCAAAATCATTTTTAATAGATTAACAAAACAACTCCTAACAAGCTTTGAAAATGCAGACTGAAGGTCCACGATTAATAAGAAAAAAAAATCCTCCTAAGAATTGTCCTACTCTTTCTGTCAGAGGTCTCATTACCCCTATCTTTGACGTGTGTTCTGTTTTTGATTTATTTAAAAAGCTTATTTTGGGCTTATTTTGAACTTAGTTTTAGAAAAAATAAACAGATTTAAGCCTCCTTTTTATGTTAAACCTGAGCACAGCAATGTTTTAACCAAACCTTTATCTCACCAAAGATCAGCTCAGTCAAAATAAAATTACACTGGTCAGACATGCAATAATATCACAGGATGGCTCCATTTCAGTGGTGACCAGCTTGCCCTTCCTCTTATTAAAGGCTGCGTACGGCTTTTCTACACTCATTTTAATCGGCGCAACCAGCTGTTTATGTGCAACATGCTTTCCACATGGTCTGCACATTTTTTTTCTCGCACAAAAGCCTGAGTCATAGACATTTTTGGTGACTGCTTTTGCCAACTATAGTTAATTTAAAACGGGGAACGTTTGGTCACGTTATCATTTTGTAGCTAAAATTTAGCCCGTTGTAGCTTAGCGGATGAACAGAACCACTAGAGCAGCCGACAGTTTCAAAGCTCCCTGTCTGGTGTGAGTCATCCCACACGTAGACAGGAATCGGTGTCAAATGCTGTAACCACAGACGGCAGCATATATAGAAATACCAGAAATATGTTCAAATGTCATATTGTTATTTAATAAAATTATATTTCAAGGTATATTGCTATTGAATTATTGTCCAGACCTAGTGAAGACGGTTTCAGATTTCCCTATCAGGGTCTTGAATTACAGACACAACAGATATGATGAGGAAGGCCCAAAAAGAGGCTAAACTTTTTTTGGGTGAGCTTCTATTACTGCATTATAGAGTGTCCTGATTTTACTTCTACTGCTACACAGTATAACAGAAGAAAGGAGGAAGTCCTCTCTACAGCAACTCTTTCATTCAATGAGGCTATATAACAGGTCAAGATTTAACAAGATTCATCTGTATGAAACGTACATAAAAAAAGGAAATACAAATTTTGATTAGACCTTTTTAATAAATTTACCAAGTGAAAACGAAATGGTCGACCAATAAAATAACAAAAACCAAAGACTATGTCTTACTATTATCAATAACTGTACTTTAAACGTAAAATAAAAGAAAACAGAGCATTGTTTTATAATTTTTTTAGATTGGTCCCCAGCATGTTGTAATACTCCTAAGCCGTCACATCATGTCACCGGGTTGGTTAACACTGAGCGGGTCAGAGGAAACAGTCCGTTATATCACAGGATGAATGTAAGGTTATGTTGGGAGGTAATATGTCATGAGTTATGGCCCTAACTCCTAAACAAACATCCATCACTGAAACATACTTCTCCAACTTTATCCCTATTCTAGCCTCTTAATTAACACTTTTTTATAGCTGAAACAGCAACCGTCAAATCTTGTCTCTGTGTGTACCTCAAAAAAAAAAAATCCTGACTATGCGTCGGATGGTCGCAAACCCGCGTAGACCTCAAGTGGAAGTGCGCAGACAAAAAGCAGCTGTGATTGGTCCTTGGTTTGCCTTTGCGGCTGTCTGTGTGGTCGTCCTTCTCGATTCGGTTCCGGGGTGTGGCATTATTTAAAAACGGAGGAACAACTACAGTGGACAACTACGACGGAAGGTTAATCAGTCTTTTTGCAGACTCTATTAACAGCACCTGCTCCTCTTCAATGTCGAGCAACTCTAGAGCCATCTCCCTGACACTGATATTTTGCAGACGTCCCATTGGTGTTTTTGAAGATAAACACCCCCGCCGGCGCTGACAAAGTTCTCGTCACCATCCGCCGAAGTGCTCGCGAGTTCTCGAATAGGCTACCCCTTGCGCTTTGGCAGGAAACTGCTATGCATCCCAAGAAATCCCAGACCGACGGTGCAGAAACATACCAGCAAAAGTGGTTTGCGACCAGACGCAAGCGACATTTGATGTGTGCGGTTGCGGAAGCATAATCTGTTCTTTAGCCATACGCCACCACAGTGGGGCTTCATTGTTTTTTTTTTTTTTTAACAAACTTAAATAGCAGATCTGACTCTTTATATAGTACTTGTCTACTGCCTTGCATTTAATGTTGATCATACTTGCATAAAATCTAATTTTGGTCTTTTTTCTGTTCTTTTAATCTAACTAAATCTTTACACCTTGTTGTATAGCTTCATTGAATTAAAGAGTCGCTGTAGAGTCTACAAAGTAAAAAAAAATCTATTACCAGCTTTAATTGTTACTAGTAATTAACGTGGACACTGTGCTAAACAATTATCTCATCTCATTGCGTTTTGAAGCTTGGACCTCAAACACATCTACATATGGTGTGGACAGCGCTCCCCACAGTTTGGACTTCAGCATGGCCTCAGTTTGTGCTGGAAGTTAATGGACTTTTCTTATGAATCAATGGATCAATGCGTCTTTTAGGCTGCATGTGTTTTAATTGCATGGGCTTTACACTCAGTCATTTTTTTACATAATTTTCCTGTAAACAAGGGATCAACGTTACTACAAGCAGCCTAAGGAGCTGAGGTCATACCTTTGCCACAGTTGAAGAACCATTGGTCTCTAACATGTTTCAGGTTGTAAATATACTGAGTCCACATTTATACTAGTAAATTATCACATTTATTTCATTTGATTGACCTACAGTCCCAACAATTGTCCAACTTTACCACCCGAATTCCTCTGAGAGGCTTGAATATGCAGAACGAACTCTTTAGACATTGCACATTTTCAGAACCCTACCATATAATTTGCCATTGTGTCATGTTACTGTAAATCTAAGTGATATTTTGAAAGCTGATATGCAGTATGACACCCAGACCCTGTGTGATTTAAAGTGGGCAGGCATGGAAAATGCTTATCTCAGTCTGAAAGTATGAAACATGTTTGTCTAGTTTCAGAACGGAAGCCACTACAGCTGCTTGTTTAAATATAGTTCAGGGTGATCTTATTGTTTAAGGCGTGTAAATTCAGGGTCACTGTGGTGAATTCAGGAGAGCTGCTCGGTGTGGAGATGTAGCTGATATGTCATTATTATCTCTTTTTGTTGTGCAGTGAAATGTTTTTAAGCCAGAAAGCGTTTTAAAGTGTTTTATTTAATGTTTTTTGGGGTTTTTTTTTTTTTGCTTCCCCCCTCTAAAACGTATCTGCCATCTGCCTCTCTTTCAGTTGATGGCGTGGTCTTGTGTACTGCCTGCTCCGCATGTGTGGAGATGGTTTTAGCAGGCGCTCTTCTGGAGGACTCGGGAACACTGCACTGGCCTGGAGAGACCTCTTAAGCATATCCAACACTATTAATACTAAACGATAGACATCAAAACAACCCAACCACTGCTGTGCAGTGACAGAGGACTACACCAATTTTTCCTCCAGGATAAAATTTTTTTTTTTTTTTTTTTTTTTAGTTATCGAGCTCAAGGTGCTCTCCTCCTTCTTTTTTTTAACTAACCCACATGTTTACCGCCAACATGCCAAGCACCATCCGCCGGCAGATGAAAAACGTGGTCAACAACTACTCTGACGCCGAGAAGAAAGTCAGAGAGGCCACCTCCAACGACCCCTGGGGACCGTCGTCTTCGCTCATGTCCGAGATCGCCGACCTCACCTACAACGTGGTGGCCTTCAGCGAGATTATGAACATGATTTGGAAGCGGCTCAACGACCACGGGAAGAACTGGCGCCACGTCTACAAAGCCCTCACGCTGCTCGACTACCTGATCAAGACGGGCTCAGAGAGGGTGGCGCTGCAGTGCAAGGAGAACATCTTCGCCATTCAGACCCTGAAAGACTTCCAGTACATCGACAAAGACGGCAAAGATCAGGGCATCAACGTGAGGGAGAAGAGCAAGCAGCTGGTGGTCCTACTCAAAGACGAGGAACGACTTAAAGGGGAGAGGTGAGAATGTTCAGACAAAATTAAGAACCAATTTGTTGTCTGTGGACATTTAAGCCTGATACGATCCTGTATCCGCTTAATTTCTTTCTCTAGCAATCCCTCCATACATTCGTCTCTGACTCAGTCCATTCCTCCTCATCTCCATTTGTTCATCTCTTCATTTATGAGTCCATCACTTCATCTATTGATTTTCCTTTTTCATTTGTAGTCCATGCCTTCTCTCTTTCCTCATGGTCTGTCTGTCTGTATGCATTTTTTCCCATTAATGTTTCATCTTTCTCTACTTTTAAAGTGATTGGTCCATCAATCAATCTTTCCATTTAAATGTTTTTTTTCCCATCAATTCAATCAGTACCAGTCTGTTTGGTTCATGTAGTAGAAATATCAAAGAAATATCAGACATCTTTTGAATTGATTTGTTGAAAATCGGTTCTAAATCATCAGAGGACTTTGCTATTTTCAGTGTCTTCTCTCTGACTACTTCACCTGCTCAGATTGGAAATGGCACCAGGATAATCTGAATATTCCCTGCTCCTGTCATGCTAGGTCTCAGGCTTTGAAGACTAAGGAGCGTATGGCCCAGGTGTCCACAGGGGGCACTCATATGGGTTTTGGCCGAGGCTCATCCCAGCCCAACCTCTCCACATCCTACAGCGAAGAATATGGCAGATCAGAGGGCTCTCCTGCCTCCTACCATGGCTGTGAGTGTATCCTCATAAATACCTGGCAGACGTTATGTATGCACACAGGGTTCATTTTTTATGTTTCGACAACAAATAAAAGATGATTAGGTCAGCTGTTTTTACTCGGTAACTGTAACCTCTGCCTGCACTCCAAAGCCATCCCCTCCCCCTGTTTCATGTCTGCCTCGCAGTTTTGCACTCTGACTGCATTCCAGAGCTCTTTTCACTCCCCCAGACAGGAGAGGAAGGAGATCCTCACCCGCCAACCCCTCACCCGCCCCCTGAAATCCTGTTTCATCCCCTTCACAGAGGGATCTGCTCATGTTTTTGTTGATACACTAAGTTCTCCACGGACAGTGACAATGAAGCAAGGTTAACAGGGATAACAGTCAGTTTAAGAAAACTGGATAGTGTGTTATTACCCTATAAGGAGTTAAATATATTTTCATTGCTGGGGGGAAAAAGAAAAACACGAGTCATATTCAGGAAGTAAGATACCACAGAGAAAGACTGAGGAGATTAACTGAAAATGCAACGATAGAATGAACCCCGGCCCCTTTTCCTTCTAAGCTCTGACCCCTATTCCTTTGCTTCCGGCTGCATCCCCCTGTGAGAGAGAGGATGCCTATTGGTTCATGTCTGCGTGGCTTTGCATATGGTTCAGGGCTGCTTTAATCCTCCATGTATTAAATGTGATCCATCCATAGCCGGGCCTCAGTTCAATACATTAGTAAATGGTGTAGTAGGTTTATTTATAGATGATTATAAAAAAAAAATTGAATATAAGTGGAATTGCATATATTATGTAAATATATTCACAAAATAGGACTTGTTTAAGTATTTAAATGAATATTTAAATAATTAAATGTACTCTGACAAAAAAAATGTTTTCAATTATCTTTAAAAACAAAGATCATTACTTATGTTGATATTAATACTGATAAAAGAAAAAAAAGGGTAAAAGAAATGAGGCTCTAAATTATATTTAAACCCCGAAAGTTGACGCCTTTTTCTCTACAGAAAGTATTTTATAGGTGCTACAGATGCTTTAATGAGTGTTAATCAAATGCTTGGAAATCTCTCATCATAAATGACATAATCAAATGTGATTTTAGGACATTTGGGATACACTGTTTTTAAAAACTTGTTTATTAGAATGATAAAAGATATCAGATAAAAGTTTTTCTAAATAACTAGGAAGCCTGATGATCTTCAGTGAAAGGCTTTTTTCATCTTTTAGCTACTAAAAATATTAAAGAACAAAATGTCATTGTAACATTTTTGTTCAACGTTCTGTTTAATATCAATTTACACACATTTATTTGCTGCAACAAAATCTGCATTATTTACACATTTTTAAGTAGCAAGGACATTTTGTATATTTTCCCTAAAGAGGAGATACAGAGTGATATTTCACCTTTATCATACAGTCCCTTAAGGAGCTAAAAACCACGTGGTATTAAGCTCTGGGGTGCGTGCCCACAAAATGACAGCTCTCTCCAGACCAACATGTATATTTGTCCTTGATCTCTGTAGAATAAGCATCTAGTTTTTCAGCTAAGGATGCCAGGAGAGCACCTACAGTAAAAGCTACGATTGTGCTGCTCTCTGATTCACAGTATTGCACTTTGAACACTGTGGTTTTAGCTCTACAGAATCTTTCACACTGGAACATGATCGCTGTGTTGGAGGAGGGGCCCTGGCTAAAGATTGCCTGGGGCCCCAGAATGGCTAAGTCCGCCACTGTCACTGCTACTCTTTGATCTAAATTTGTACTGGGAACATTATGATGAAGCCTTTAGCTGCAGAGTCATCAGCAAAGAACCAATCAGAGTTCAGCCGGGCCACCGGTGTGGGAGTTGATGGGGAATTTTTGGGATTCCAGTTAAACCTTCCGAGTATTGTTGTCCAGACGTGGTGTGAGTGAATGACTGAATGAACGGTCATGCAGCTGTGAGTGCAGCTTTTAACCTAACCTTTATGCAAAGTTTAGGAAATAAAACCTTATAATGAACATTTGATAGAAAGAGATGTTTTTTTTGTTTATCTTTAGTTTATGTACATATTGGACACTTCCTCCCACAAGAGCCTCTAGATTTGTTATCTACAGACACAGACGGTGTGTCTGCGAATGTGGTTGGATTTTATGACTCTTTCCCTTGATTTTAAATATTGTTTACCTTTTTCACCCCGTAAATCTACCATGAAGGACACAGGTTTATTTCACATTTCTAAAACACAGTACTTATTCAGTCAGCACTGCACAGTGCTAGGGACTCTAACGTTGGCAGGAAATGGCAGAAAAGTGGACGAGAATCAAAGTTTCAGGCATTTTCGCCCACGAAAGGCACAGCTGCGTTTGAACAGTCGCCATATATGGTCCCTTCCCACAGTCATGTGTTTTAGTTGGCATATTAAACTATGTCCTTATAAGTGTCACACATTAGGTTGTGCCAACATGCTTCTATTTTTTCCTTCTTATTTTGTGGATCCCATGAGAACAAATTTTTAGGAATTATGAGCTCAGATGTTTGATTTGATAGAGGAAGGCAGGGTTTTTGTCAAAGAAAGACCAACAAAAATGAATAACTATTACTGAGCAATGCTTTAATTTTGCTGATGTTTAAAGAAATTGTTGTTCTCATCTGTCAAAGGTTTGTTATTGTGGAGTCCTGGCTATTTAAGGCAGATATGCTGATACTTTAACATGGCTCAGCTTCAATCTGAATGATTTTGGTCTATTTCTCTTGAGTTTGTAGACATGAACAGAGGCATGCATTGACAGACACATTTATGCAACTAAATGATTAGAGGCAAATATGAATTTGAAGATGTGAATTAAATTAGGAATGTCCCAATACAATTTGTTTAATTTCTGATAGGATGCCGCTATTGACCCAGTACAATATCAGCATGAATCCTAAATACTTTATTTACTTATTTGGCAATGTGTGATGTTGGAAAAGGTTTAATTAAGTGATGATACTCAAACAGAAGAATAGCTGACCCATGTATTAATAACCAATGGGTTCCATAAACCTTAAACAGAAGAAGATAGAGCTGTAGTGGTTCCATCAGCCTGCATATTTTAGAGTTTTTAGATTCAGACAATTTTTTATTTTTATTTTTTTGCTATCAGACCGATTTCAATATTGAATGGGAAATCTGGTGTTTATATTGAAATTGAAAATAATTATCAGCAGGATGAAAGGGAGAGCAAAAAGATGCTTGTTTGTGTTCGAACAGATAAAACCACAAAGCTGTTTGACCCATATGCAAAATGCTGTGGGGGTGGGGGGTGAAATGTTACTGCTCAATACACTGAAAACACTACCCTCTGCTTAAATAACAATGGTAGCTGCTCCATGGTGTTAACGAAGGCTTCCCTTATGTCACAGTTCCCATGGCGAAGCATGAGAGTAGCAGCATGATGCCCCGGGGGTTATTCATTACAGGGGAGCCTGTAGTTACAGTAGGTAAAGGCAAACTATAAGGGTTGGTAGCAAAGTTCTAGTTCTGTATCAGTTTTTTTTTTTTTTGTGCTGCACCTTGGAGGCCAAATCTGAAGGAAAACTTGGAGTTCCAGTTTTCTCCTAAGTCTCTTGAGGATTCCATCAAACCATTTAGGAAAATATGAAGGAAATTGTGTACTTTTCACTAAGTTATTACTACTTTCTTCTCACACTAATGTTGCCTAAAGGATACAAACTATATACATGTATCAAAGCATTGAAATTTGTTTGGATGATTTTTAGATTAATTTAATTTTGATGGATCTTTATAGAGGAAGATGTTCTGGAATCCTTCATAAAGATTTAGCCTCAATAATGCGTTCAGGCATGATTCCTGCATCTTTTCTCACTATTTTGTGTAGTTGTCAAAAAACTGTAATAATTTTTATTTCAAATCGAAAGTTGTTTTTTTGGATCTTTCCTTCAGGCTTTCTATGATTGAAATATATTGTCTTGGGCTATAATGATCAACATTGAAAATTATATTTTTAGGGGAAATATATTAAGTTCTCCAAATTATGGAAAGATGTGATGTCAGACGTTTTAAAGAGGCTGACATGTACAAAGTGTCATCTCAGTCTCAGTCATTTTGGAGAATTGGGTATGAAGTTTGTCTCCCCTGACATGGGGAAACTGCCACAACACATTTTTGTAAGCGTTGTTTTGTTGATGGGTGCAGCCTACACATCATACACATTTCTTACCATGATGGAAAGAGATTTGGAAAAGTGTGTGGCTTCTGTTCTTACTGTTCTGGGTAGTTAGAAATGAATAATGGCATCAATTAGAGGAGAAATGGTAGAGTGAATGAAGTAAACAGAAAGCTATACGTAACAAATTAAAGTATGGGGAAAAATAGTGAGTAAAGTGGAAGAAAACAGGTTTGCATTTTACAGAAACATCGTTTACACTAATCATTATGTAAAAAAGGGTGACATTGGGGGTGGGAGCTTTGTTCCATGGGTGCAGCGTTGAACTCTCGCTCCTGCTGTTGATCCATGCCTGGTGGGGTTGTGGGTGACCAGCAGGGG